ATTCAAGATCAAAAGTGAACAAACAACTTGAAGTTTTCTTAATATGAACTGTTGTTGATGAAGTCTTTAATTATAGTACACCAAGGAGCAAGTGTTTTTAATAGTTTGTATAGGAGCCAAGTTTTGTTTTTTTTGAAAATTTAAACTTTAAAAAAAATAATTTCTCAATAACTATCTCATTATATTAAGTCAAATTTTTGTCACTAGTATAAAAATCATTAAATTTAAACATACTAAACCTTTAGAATTTTTAAACATAATCATAATTTTTTATTAATTTTTAAATGAACCCAATTAATTTTTTAATTTTTTGTAAAAAAAAATATTCAAAACTTTAGCTCTCATCTAAAATTTATTCTAATGATTGAAAAATTACAAAAAAAAATACACAACCTAGACTATTTACTAAATTTTTGAAAAATTTTAAGGCTGTAGCACCTCTCTGTAAGCTGATATAGGTGCGGAGAAACTTTTGCCTTGCACTGTAACACAAAAATTTACTATAACAACATCTTTCGATCTCTAAATAAAAGTTTTCAGCATAAAATTTTACATATAGAAACAATTTTTAATGTTAAATTTATAGGGAATTTTGAAATATTATAGACCCATATTTTGTTAGTCAGAGCTCGGATTTTCTTGACATAATGACAGGGATACTCCTATAATAATAGTATAAAATAATAAATAACTTAAATAAATAAAAAAACATTGACTATTGATCAGTGTAATGCATGCTCATAAAGGCATAAAATAGAGTTTTGGAACCGGTTTTATTTTTCATATGCTAAAACCGGCTTTAATCGGTTTTAACATATGAAAAATAAACCCGATACCAAACACTAGTATAAAAAAACCATTATGGCGCATTTATAAATACCTTAAAATTTTACAAAATTTAACTACTAACGTATGATGCTGATTTTCAACTGCGTATAAATTTTATGTCTAAAGAAGTGCGTCAAATTATTTTATATAGTAGGGAGATGGGTTAGACGCATTATCAGCGTTGGTCGACTAATATGTAATTTGGTAATTAAAGTTTAAAATCTAGGAACCAGATACTCAACCTTGGTGACCAATTTTTAGTTAAATTTGACAAATGCGCCGTAAAAACTTAACATTTAACCACAAATATGCACGTCCTATGCGCATTTTATATTAATATATAATTGTTAATAACCTATATTCAAAAAAAAAAAAAGATGTATGCAACTACCGTACAGTTTACTTTAGTGATTACGTACTGAATTACTTTTACCAATAAGAAAAAAAATACACTCATTGCCAAGTCTGGTTTATTTTCTGTTTCTAGGTTATTTTTGCCGTGTATAAATGATATGTATTCGGTTTCGTTTGACAATTCGTTTAAGGCCAGATGGTATATGCAATGCACGTAATATGTAATGGTGCATTTACTGATTGACCAGTAAGAATTAATGACTACTATGGTGGAACTGACGGACGGTGCTTAGGGGCAGTACAAATTCATGCGATTGGTTAATAGAGTATATGGATTTTACAAATATCACGTGAATTGAAAAGAACTGCCCGCATATTCACCAAATCTATTCACTAAAAAAGATTGGCGTATCTACATACAGTAGTTCGATCAGAGATGGATTTACATACTTTACGCCCAATCAGAGTTTGGGATAAAATTAGTGTTCTTCTTGATCTATAAACTAATCGGAGAACAAAATAGAATAATTGTATATATTTAGAATGTCTTCACGATTCTCATTCATCTAGATCACGTGCATTGCGTATATCTACGCGCAGGGTTACCTAACTATGCCACAATGTTCCACAACAGTTAAAATGACTATCATATCAAGGGTGAGCATTTTATCCCATATGCCATACGTAGATACGTACAGGTTAAAATTCTTTAACTTCATAAAATGATAAAATTACCGAACGAATGTCTTTTTGAAATATTTAACAACCTCCAAGCTTATCATGGAAGCCTATTTTCATGCCTTCTTGTAAATCGTCAATGGTGTAGAATCATTGTACCAATATTATGGAGCGATCCATCTGTTTATTTCAAAGATAGACGACTTATAAGAATATGTCTTTTAGCATTAAATGCTGAAGAACAAGCATTGTTAATTCCATTTAATATAGCGCTTCCGAATAATTCGGAACTGTTATTTAAATACACAAGTTATATTACGTCTATTGACAGCTATTTGAAACAAGGAATCGAAAATTGGCTAAACTATGAAGAATACAAAGTGGACAAACCGTGGGATTCAATGTTTATTAAAGAAGACGAGTCTGTGAATGCTATTAAATGCTCATTGATTACAATGTTTCTACGAACAAGTAAGAAACTTAAATATTTAAGCATTGACGGGATTATTTATGATAAGGTAGCGAAACTATTGGGTGAATTTCTTTATAGAAGTACAACAATTGGTTCCTTAGAACTTTATGATAATTGTCTTGGCTTTGAGGGAATAAAAATGTTATCAGTAGCTCTTTGTAAAAACACCACTTTAACTACGCTGAATTTTAAATATAGCCAACTTGATTCTGAAGAAGAAAAACTCATCGCAGAGGCTCTTTGCAAAAATACTACAATAAACATCTTAAATTTTAAGGGTAATCAACTTGGTAATGAAAGAGGAAAATTTTTTATAGAAGCTCTTTGTAAAAATACCGCTATAACATCATTAGATTTTAGCAGCAATGAAATTGGATTTGAAGAAGGAAAAGCATTTGCGGATGTTCTTTACAAAAACTCTACACTAACCTCGTTGAATTTTGGATATAATCAACTTGGTTCTGAGGGCGGAAAAATATTTGCAAAAGCTCTTTGTGAAAACTCCACATTAACTTCTTTAGATCTTTGTTATAATCAACTTGATTTTGAGGTGGGTGAAGCACTAGCGGAGGCTCTTTATAAAAACACGACTCTTACATCACTTAATTTCGGATATAATCATCTTGGTTCTGAAGGTGGTAAAGTATTGGCAAAAGCTCTTTGCAAAAACACTGCTCTAAATTCTTTAAACATTCACTGCAATCAACTCAGTTCTGAAGGTGGGAAAGCACTAGCGGAAGCCCTTTGTGTGAACAATACTTTAACTTCTTTACGTCTTGATTATAACCATCTCGGTTTTGAAGGAGGAAAAGCCATAGCAGACGCACTTTGTGTGAATACCACTTTAACATATTTAAACCTTTCTAGCAATCACCTTGGAACTAAAGGAGGAAAATTATTAGCAACTGCTCTCTGCAAAAATAATACGCTGACATCTTTAAATCTTAGCGATAATGAAGTTGATTACATTGGAGGAAAAGCATTGGCTGAGGCTCTTTGCGTGAACATTACTCTAACTTCTTTAAATCTTCATGGTAATTTACTTGGATCAAAAATAGGAAAAGTATTCTCAGAAGCTCTTTGTAGAAACACTACTTTAACTTCTTTAGATCTCGGTGATAATGAAATTGGACTTGAAGGAGGAAAAGCTTTAGCTGAAGCTTTATGCGTGAATACTACTCTAACATCCTTAAATCTTTATTTTAACCAACTTGGTTCCGAAGGTGGAGAAGCGTTAGGAGAGGCTCTTTCCAAAAACGCCTCATTAATATCTTTAAATCTTGGTAAAAATAGAATTGGTTTTGAAGGAGGAAAAGCTTTAGCAGAGGCTCTCCGTGTAAATACTACCATGACTTTTTTATATCTTTGTGAAAATATATTTAGTTGTGAAGAAATAAAAATACTAAAAAAAATATTTCATGTAAATACTACTTTAGAATTGTTGGAAGTTTAAAATAGATGCTAGAACATTGTAAAAGGTAGCAATAGATTGAAGAGATCGAGGAAGAATTAGAATCAAAAGAAATAGTAGAATCAAAGGAAATAGTAGAATCAATCAATAGATCAAGTAAAATTAATAAAGTATATAATAGAAGGTGTTTCGACCTTCACAAAAGGGATTTGTTGTCTAGCCCTTAGATATTGTTATTAAAATTTTTATAACTTTTATTTAAAGTCAACAGAAAAAACAATGTAAAATCACCAGTCAATTTTACATTATCCAATTTTCAAAAAAGGTTTTTTTGTGCATTTTAATGCACTGGTTTTTATTTTCTATGATGTAAAAATTTAATGTAATAGAACAATTGAATAAAGAAATAAAGACGTAAAATTTTATAAAACGTAGTAATAGATGAGTAAGAAGTAGGTATTAAGTGTTTACGTATACACCCAGAGAGTACACTTGGTCATATTTATATAAAAGTTACGCAAAATTGGGTAGTAAAATAAGCGTAATTGAACCATTATTGGTGACATAAATAAGTCTGCATATATCGTAAATGTGAATGAGTTTTTTCTTAAAAAATATATATACATTAATATATATTGGACTTTCATTTTTGTAAAAATAAAAATAAATTAATCGGTAAAGTTCATATTAATTCTAAAACGACATCTTTATAAAAAGTTAATCCGTGTTTTCTATTTAATGTTTTATCTATAAATGTTGCATATTCATGAAACGTGTACTGTACTTTCAAACGATGGAAACTATTCGGTCTACTAAATCATGCTGTAGATTCACGGAATTTTTACAGAAAATAAAGTGATAAATGGAACCATTTAAATAAAATTTTTTACAAGGCAACACGTTATTTATTATTCATTGCATCATAATAATACAAGTTGACTCAAATTGATATAAATTAATTAACGACATAATATAGGCTAACCACGTTCGCGATTATCCGTTCCTGGAGTAGCGATATAATTATGATTATCTGTATTTGTACCTGGAGTAGCGATATAATTATGATTATCTGTATTTGTACCTGGAGTAGCAATATAATTATGGCGCCTCCTATAACAAATGTAACCTATAATGCCTGCAATAATAATTAATACAAACAAGCAACTACCAAGACCAAAAGCTAATTTAATTTCATCGGAGATATCTGGTGAATTAGGAATTGTACTTAAATCAAAAGATTTAACCCATTTATGACTTGAAGTGTCTAAAATATAAACATCATTATTAGGAGCAGTTGCCAAATCAAATCCTTTACCCGCAGAAAAAAAAGCACCTAGAAAATAAATAAATAATTTTAATGATGATCAAAGATATAACATTTTAGTTAATGAATATAATTACCAAATGCTACGATCATATAATTTCCAACTGTCTGAGCTGAATGATAAGCAAGAGGACGTGGATTGCCACTAGATATTATTTCAGACCATTTGTAAGGTTCAACACTTGTATCTAATGCAGCCAAAGGCGGATATGGGCTTTTTGTAAAATTATTAGAACCACCACCAAAAATAATAATAGTAGAATTATCTTTGCCTAAAATAAATTTGAATATCAATGTTTTGTAAGCTAAAAATGGATTTATACCGTGTAAAGTACGTATTGTAAGCGAAAGTTTTTGCTAACAACATATATTCAAACATATCACTAGGAATTATACGTATCAATGCACAAAAAATCTATTCTAAAATATTAGATAATTTGCAACATACTTAAAACAGCAGTATGAGATAGACGTGTATCAATCGCGCCAACCGCCATCTATTAATTAATTCATATATATTAATAAATATCTGAGTAAATACAGTAAAAATATTTTACTTACCGTTAAATTCCAAATTCCAGAAATCGTATTATAAACCGAAATCTAATTATAAATAACAAAAACCTATATTAAACAATAATAAGAGGTTTAATTATCATAAAAATTTAATTACTTTGTTCATATCAATTTCTGCAAGTGAATAGTTTGTTGTTGTTACATTCGGAAAGTCTTGAGTTCCTCCTATATATAGAATAAGCCCGCTTGGTAAAAGCGTGGCAGTATAGGCGGATCGAATGATTGGAGCATCAAGACCATTATTAAGCCAAGAATTGCTCAAAGAATTAAATATGTTGGTGTTATTGCTCGATTTAAGGGTTGTATACGGATCAAATCCACCATTAATATATATTATACCATTATTATCAACAACCGCATCCATGTTCTGTCTGGAAATTGGCGTACTTCCCAATGTATGTAGAGCATCCCATTGTTGATTTATTATATCAAAGGTAAATATCACTAAAGTAGACGAATTAACATTGCCTGTACTACGATGTTCAAATAGAAAGATGGTAGAATTATTACTTCCACCAAGGCAAGAAGGCGAGATCGCACTCTTAACAGGAATAGGTGCAAGATTTGTCCACCTAAGCTTTTCAGAGTTAAATGGTGATGAAATATCTAAATAAAATAAATCACTAGTGCCAACGTTTGCAATATCTAAACCACCTAAAAAGTATATTTTATTTTCAATAATGACACTGCCTTGGTAAATGCGACTAGCAGGTTTAAATGCGGCTGTCATGATGATAAATTTGATTTAGACTCAATTATATTGGCCATAAATAATACAAAAAAAAACCACTCTTGCTTGTCTAGTAATGAATATATATATAAAGGCTATGTTAATGACTATTTAACCTTATTAATTCTATTCTCAAAAATCAATAATTTATTACCGGTATATACCAGAATATAATCCACAGTAAAAACACAGAAATTTTATAAACAAGTTAAACACAGAATTTGTAATTTGCATATTTTATACTTTATATAGGATAACGTAATAACAATTTTATTAAAGATAATAACTAATTTACACCACAGGTGATAATCACCTGTAAAAAAAATAAAAGACAAGTTTATTAAATATGAATTAATTATCAATAAGGTGATTCAGAATTAATGATCAGATTTCTAATTTTGAATAAAATTATTGACGTATTTGTTTCGAAATAAACGGTCTGTAAATCCTATTTTTTTTATATGATGATATATTCCTATTTCATTTTCTAATTTCGGAATTTCATAACAGAAATAGGAATTTTTAAACTCACTTATTTTTAAAAATAAGTTAATTCTAATCGCTTAGTATTAATAAATTCCTTACAAACGCGCAACAATGTTGATACTAAGAAAAAACTAATTCAATTTTTAATGAAATTATTATATTTAAAGGCTAAATCAATTCAAAAATGTTAATCTAGACTAAATTACTATGAATAAAAGAAAACTAAATTGGAAGTGAATAGCATAACATTAAACACTTCTATTAATAAATTGCATATCATTACATAAATTCACATACTTAATATGGAACTAAATAAGAAATGATTAGCTTTTGTATTCAGCTATCGCGATTTCAAAAGGCTAGGGTCCGGGATGAGCTGGCTAAGAATAAAAATAAAACCCTCAGAATAGCTGGCCCGGCCGGATTTACTTTATAACTATTTCATAATTCCTGAAACATCTGCTTAAAATTAGCGAATGATTTTTCGGCCGATTCGATTAAGTTTGTGATTCCAGCATGATTGAACCAAATTGACATATACAAGGAAACAGAAACCACTTAGGTCCAAAGCTTAGTATTTTATTATTTCATCATTTTTTTTGTGTCTATTGCTCTTCGCATATATTTTAAATATGTATTTTTAATCAACGTCTATCGTTAACCTACATATAAATTTTTATTTTTATACATGCATGTATTATTGGCACAAACAAAGCTAGGTTCGCTATTTATTTCAATTTTTTTCTTTAGCATATTATCATTGATGTTATTTAAAAAAAGTCTGTAGATCGTCAATGAATATATTTACTATGCTATCACTATAATTTTCGAGGGGCATTTAATATTTGACAATAAAGTATTTCACTCCGATTTTGACAATAATACATGAGCGACCGTGACAGGTCAATCCTCATAGACAGAAGTTCGTCTGATTGGCTAATGTAAATCAATTGCCCGGGTAACTTATTTATATGCTTTAAAGTACTT